ACGCCAATGGAGTTCTCTTGGTTCATTGCTCTAAAGTCAACCGTTTTCAAGAAAAATTACTTTTTATGAACAAAAGCAAACTTTTTGCTAACGTTTCGAAAATTTTTTGCATTTTGCATTTTGCATTTTGAACATTTTGCAAGTGTAAGTAACTGAACAGAACATCCGGAGAACGAAATGCATCGTTTATGAAATCCATGTCAATACTATCGAAAAGTTGACCGATAGAGGTGAAACCGCAGCGGCAGAAAGAAACATGATTAGAAGATGTAATGCGTGCATTCAAGCCAACGGACGTAATTTTGAACAGTTTCTGTAAATTTTACTCGCCAAATTGATAAAAAAAAGTTAAAATCCTATCTGTTGTTAAATTTCGTTAAAATTGTTAATTATTACTACCTATTTTTTGAATTACAAAAGATTTTCGAAACGTTAGCAAAATGTTTGCTTTTGTTCATAAAAAGTCATTTTTCTTGAAAACGGTTGACTTTAGAGCAATGAACCAAGAGAACTCTTATTGTGTAAAATTCATTGGCGCTTTAGAATTTGCTGTCAAAAGTCAATTTTTCCAGTGGCGTAAAATTTAGGGGGGGAAAAACCCTTACGATACCTTAAAATCTCCACCACTGGCACGTCCAATGAATTCGAGAAGGGTGCGAAAAAGTAGCTATTAATAGTGGTAATGTGTGTACAAAAGCTCAGTCCTGTAGTTCAAACGATTCCTAAGATATTGGCGAAAAACTAAAAAAAAATTAAAGTTTTGACACCGTGTATCTCGAAAACGAAAGCCCGGAGAGAAAAATGGAAGAGGAAAAAAATGTTTCTTTTTTCAAGAGGAATTTACAGTTTTCCGTTGCGACACTTATTTAGGAACACCCTGTATAACCTAAGTTGAAAAGACACTTTTTAGATACACTGCTTCACAAGTTTTGTTTGAACTTTTTTTTTGTTATGTTTTTTGTTAGCAACACCAGTATGAAGGATGCCATCTTGAAATTCTTAAATTGTCATAACTTCTAAATGCCTTAATCGATTTCAATAAACGATCATTTTAAAAAACCATTAATAAAATTTATATTTATGATATGGGAATAAAAATATTATTTTCCTGCGTAACCGTAGACGACGCTAATGAGAAAAGTTTTGTAATTGTCTCCGTTTACTAAAAAAATTAAATGCAACAATATAGTTTTTTTTCATGGCTTGATAAACCATTTCTAAGGAAAACAAATACACAAACCGGAGGTCGATATTTTTTTTCGTTTTCAAATTATTACTAAAATAGTGAAGTTGTGCCAGAACATCCTCCTTTATTTAGTTCTCTAAATAACATTGACATAGTCCAAGCCAAAAATTAATATACCAATCTTGTCGTTAAAAAGAACTTGCTTTATTTTAAATTTTTTTTAATACCTATATAGGTACAATTTTTCATTTTTTTATTAATTCGAAGTATCTGAGTATTTATAACGATTATCGTTTCGATAACAAGGCAGGCTATGCCCTATGAAAATAGACAACTGAAAAATTATGCATTTTCCTCGTCACAAGTATTTTTCCAACACAAATAACATTAATTTTGCAAGTAGCAAGAGCTGTCACATTTCGTTTGGCATTTCTGGAAATTTCGAAAAACCGACAATTCTCTGTAACACTATAGCAATTGCACCCCCTAGTGGTGAAATTACAAATTTGAAAATACTTTAAATCAATTTCTTCTGGCCATATCTGTTAATAGATTTTTTACCCCCAACTGCTCGATACCGTTAATGGATCACCCTGTATTGCAATACTGCACAATAGCTATAATAAGGTACATGTTACTATTGCTATGCTTTCCGGAAAAACCAGAACTTGTAAATAAAATTGATCTGGGTGGTGCTCAAATCCTAAATAATATTAAAAATTGTAGAGCATCTTTACTTATAAAAGGCATAAGATGTTTGTAATTTTTGTACAAAATTTAGAACTTAAATATGTACAAAATATGTTTTTCATATTTCTAAAATGTTACAACAGATCAAAAATAAATTCATTTTCAAGATATATGAACAAAAAAACTTCTACCCATAAAAATAGTGATACAAATTATTTATAACAATTTCGAACACTCAATATAATGGAGTTAGAGAAACAAATATTTTTCAAACGTTTTTCTTTAATTTTCTACACCGTTAAAACCCTAAGGCCGCAATGGGTATCACCACTCTAAAATTCTAAAAGCGATTTTTGCATTTTTTTTTTAATGGAAGGAAGAGTAAGGGTAATAATATTCAAGGATATTATTAACTGTCTTTAAATGTTCAAAAAATAAAAATGTATTCATAAATACTACAAAATGGCGAGATATGTTGAATTTGAGTCGTTCTGTGGCATGCAGTGTAACCGTGGCAAAACAAAAAATTTTCTCTTAACCTTCATGAATATGATTAGAGAAATATGTAGGGTATTTTGAAAACATATTGTGTGATTGGCACGCATTTGAAGTAAAAAATTAAGTTTTTGACAAAAAAAGGGGCGTTCATTTGTCAATAATTAATGTTAAAATTAACTTATCGAAAATCCCAAATCCCATATGTATGTACTTCTCTTCAGAATGTTATTTTAAAGCCGTGGTCAAAATTTGGAGTAAATAGGATGAAAATTGTTGGAGTTATGCTGCATGCTGTTTTAAAAAATCATATTTCAAGAAAAATGCCTTCTGTTAGTTGTATTAGAGAAGAAGATAAGTTAGAAATCAAAAGGTAAGTCTTTAGGCTGTGACCTTCCAGCATGTATCTAGATGCCACAGGTAGTTGTTTCGGAGCAGTCCCACGTGCTTAGGAAAGAGTTTGGAATTTCAAAGAAAAAAATTTTGTAGACATAAAACTTATTTCCTCTTATTCTAAAAGGTGCAAACCATCTTTTAAATCAATAAAAAAATCTAAAATTATATAGTGATCTCATCCCTTAATGAGGGAAACCTTATTAGGAAATTGATTTTCAAGCATTTCTCGTGAATTTTTTGAATAGGACAAATTGACTAGAATTTGATCAAACTTTGAAATTATTTTATCAATACTTTAAACTACATTTACGAATTTTTTCAAGTCATTTGTGTTGAAAATGCCAAAGTTATGGGTTGTTGTCCACCGAAGAGTTGGTTGTTTGCGAGAAATGTAGAGGTCGCAATTTTGATGTTAAACCAAAATGGATATTTTCCTGCATTAATAACATGTTTTCTAAGAATATGAACCTCATTGCAGGTAAAAATTGTGAAAGTTGAAATTCTGGCACCTTTGTGAAAACAAATTAATCGATTTTCACCATTTTATTTTCACTTATTTTGAATAAAAAAACACCCTTAAAATTATCACATCATCTCAATGTTAGTTCATGTTCTTTGTAATTTCATAAAGAAACACACTTTCAATTTTCATAACAATCGGTTGATAACTTTTGAGGTACAGTTCCCGTGAATCAAAAAATGTCGTTTCGAGAAAAACGCGTTGGGAACTTTTTGTAAACTAGAAACTTGAGGAAGTTATCAATAATGTAGAGTGCTTTCGGATCAATCAGCGATTCCAGCATCATATAACAGTTCTTCTTTTTCCTCATAGGCATCATTCGGAGTTTGCATCTGTTCCTTTCTTGCTTAATAAGTGACTAGACTACCTGAACAAGCGCTCTGCCCTATCTGCTGTGTGTCTGAGCGCTAACCCGATGGGCTTTCGGTTTTAGGCTCATAAAATCGGAACAAACAGGAAATTCGTTTTGAAATTTTGGCAGTGTATTCTTGAATAATAACAATTACGCAATAAAAAAATCCTATATTTTGAACCTCCTAATGTGGTTTTCCCCCTTAAAAGGTTTATCTGATGTCTGAGAAGTTGACTTTTAGGTTTTTCAGAAAATTAAACCTGACAAAATCTTATAGAGGCCCTCGATGAGACCCCTTTGCTCCAAGTTGATAATAATAATCATTTCCAAGGAAAAAAACCTTTAATTTTTCTGGTAAAATGTTAGTTATCTTTAAATTTTTAATTTTTTTAAAGTTAACAAGATGGCAGATTCTAATGTTTACAACTGTACCTATAAAAAATAACTTTCTTTTGAGTTAAAAATTTTGAAAGATTGTTTTTTTAATCTTTAATAGTAAACTTTAATTTGCTAGAAAAGTGTAAGTAGCAAAATTATGATAAATTTTGTAGTCTATAAGGATTATTTCTTGTTATCAGTACATTGAATATGAAAACAATTTGCTTCAAAGTTATGGCCATTATATAAAAAAAAAAATACAATTTGATTATAAAACCGTAAATTTTAAGGTTTCAAATAAGTACCATATTATTAACTCATTATCATTATTTTAATGGGTGAAATCATTCTCTATATTTTGCTTACAGTGTAAGAACCAGTGACCTAATTACCTAGGCAGTGATATTTACCTTTGCCCTTTTCTTCAAGACAATACTCCCTCTGTTTGAAAGTTTTTCATGTCCATTATTGATCTTGATTGATTTATTTATTACAATGATAAAATCAAAAAGAAAAGAAATAAAAAAAATATATAAAAAGCTTTTTTGGCTTGCTTAAGTTTTAAGTTTAATGCAAAAATTACAAATATATGTTACACTACACCTTTAAACTCAATATAAAGATAACACTAAAGTCAAAATAAAATCGTTTCGAGTTCAACACCGATAGTAAAACCACTGTGGGTGCCTCTGATATTTTGCATCTCTGTATACAGCTACATATTTATTTTAAAATGGGTTTCAAGTATGTTTCATTATTAGAAAAAAATTTTATCACACATTATTCATATCTCATTATGAGACAGTCACCAACTCAATATAAATATCAAGACGATTAAGTTGAACTAAGTAAATGTTATACTTAATTAGATTAGCAATTTTTATCTTCTGTGATAAAGACTTAACACATGCTGAACTATGAACTTATATGGCACTCAAGAATTTTATTAGCTATTGCTTTTAATAATAAAATGTATAATTTACCTGTGTTTCATTACTCATCAACTGATCCCTGGCTTGCTTAACCATATCAAGGCAGGTTTGGCAAACGCTTGAAGTGTCAGGTGGAAGTTGTTTATGTATCCATACGGTTTGTATGCAGTGTCGTACAGCATTGCAACCAGCAGCAGATCTACAAGAATATTTTTAACTGTAAATACTTACTAAGGCATTATCATTACAACTCAATCATTGAGTTCCACGTTAGCAATATACACATATATATATATATATATATATACAAATAATAATAATAATAATAATAATAATAATAATAATAATAATANTATATATATATATATATATATGTTGAACTTCAGATTTCCGCGGATATTATATGTGTTGTCAAGATGTTTCCGGGTTCCTCTCCGCGTATGGTTTTCTTGATTCTGGATAGAATCGTGTTCTGGACGACGTTTCGGCAAGATCACACAACGTATTACACGAAGTAGAACAAAGAAGACTTGAAAATGGCAAGTGTGATCTTGCCGAAACGTCGTCCAGAACACGATTCTATCCAGAATCAAGAAAACCATACGCGGAGAGGAACCCGGAAACATCTTGACAACATATATATATATACATATAAAATGATGCAGTAGAAACCAACTCTCTGACCCCAGAGAGACCAGCCACTTTCAGGTAAATAAAAAATCGGTTAAGAGGTAAAATTATAAAAGAGAGTGTCTTTTGCAATTTTTTTTAATGGAAGGAAAAGAGAACAATAATATTCAAGGATGTTATTAACCATGTCTTTTTAAGTGTTTAAAAAATATATATTTATTCAAAAATAGTACAAAATGGCCATGCTAGAGCCAATTTTGTGAGGCATGTTGAATTTGAGGTCTTCTGTGACATGCTGTGTAAATGACACTTTGATATGGAAGAAACAAAAAAAAATTTCTCTTAATCAACATGAGTATGGTTAGAGAAATGCGTAGGGGATTTTGAAAACATATAGTTTTGTGTGCTTAGCAAGCATTTGAAGGAAAAAGTTCAATTTTTAACAAAAAAAAGGGGGCAATCATTTGCCAATCATTAATGTTAAAGTCAACTTATTAAAATCCCATACGTTACTTCTCTTCAGAATGTTATTTTAAAGATGATCAAAATTTGGAATGTATAGAAAGAAAATTGTTGGAATTATGCTCCAAGCTGTTTTAAAAAATCCTTAATATTAAATTTTTGAAAAAATGATATAGGAACTTCTGTCATTTTTTTTAAGTAAATCACATTCTAAATTTTTCCTGACAGTGTTCCGATATTCTTTATAGTTCTTTATTTTATGTAAGGCTTTTATAAGATTAAATTGATTAAAATGAACACAAAACTTAAATATTTAGTTTATTCAGCCCCTTGCCAAAAATAATTATTAAAGATAATAAATACAAACCGCATATGACATTAATATGGTGCTTTTATATTCAAACGTGAAGATTTCCTATAATACTCTAAATAATTCCAGCTTATTTTCTTTTTAAAGTACATACTCTCACATTATTATAAATTTATTATTACTGGTAATTCTAAAAATCAACTCATTTAACATATTTAAGTAATTTTTTTATTTTATTTAATAACTGTACACTACACCATATTTAAACTATTTATCTTAAGGGTATCAAAAATAGTGATAGAAACAGGACAGCTAAAATACAAACAAGTCCACTGAAATAGCATAAACAGATCTCAAATATGTTTTTTTAATTTTTGATATATTAAAAAAAACAAATTTAGTTTTCCTATTTTATTACTTTTTTTTATCAAAACTAGAACATTTAGAAGATATTGAAATATTTAATTTATCGATTTTTGGTAAATTAGACAAAAAGAGAATGCTTCATATGCTGTGGACCTTTTTTGGCCTTAGAAAGTTCAAATCTACTTATGATCATTTATTATCTAATAAATTTACTTAAAACTAATTTCGAAAAAATTAAATTGATGAGGAAAATTGAGAACAAATGCCAAAACTAGCACTTCTATGAGAAAGCGTATAAAAGGTTGGCAAAAAATAGTTCTTTTCTTGGTCTGATAATAGAAAACCATAAAACAGAAAAATGAGAAATTTGGTCTTCTCAAAATCTTAAAAATTCTAATTTGATAAGTATCCAATATTCACCGATAGATCCTTGAACTAATTTTAGTGAGTGAAAAAAAATGTTATATCAACTGCTTATTAAAATTATTAAAAATAAATTGATAACAATATTGCAGTAAATATACTAACTTTAAAAAGACACTGAATTATTATCAAATAAATTGATAGCAAGAACACTTCTGGGGTTCCCTTGACTATTATGGGAAGTCCCTAAGATGATATCATAAGTACAATATTATTAAAATAATGATTCATTAATTAAATTAAATATTTAAAGGCACATGTACATTGAACACCCCTTTGCGCAGTTTTTAACTATTCACTAATTAAATGCCTGTCTAGTACTTTTTAAAAGTTTTAGTAAAACAATTTTAACTATAAAGGCAAAATAAAGAACATATCTATTTAAACAAGAAACATAATTTCACAGCAATTGCACATTATATTATTAGTAAACTAATGAATTAAAATGGTACTAAAGTATAGAGTACTTTTTATTTTTTAATACACAAATGGCACAATGAAAAAATTTATATAATTATGTATGTACAGCTATTTGTCTATTTTGTAGAAATGTTACTTATCGAATTTTACAACAAATTTACAGTTTGATTATAATACTTAATTCATCATTGAAAATATTAAATAATATAATTGTGTAAAGTAATGAGGATTAATCTTTTCTAAAATAAAAAATATTTGTTTACAATCAAGTACGTTTACTTAACTACTGCTAAAATAAAGCCAAGGTTAACCATTCCAATGAAGTGAAGAGTACCTATTATATAATTATTAATTAAACATCCTCTGTAAAATACATATATCTGTTCCTAATTGATGTGTAATTAAAATATTTTGTACAATCAATTCAAAGAATCTGATTTAACATATTTTTATAGTGTTAATTGAGTAACTAAGTTTATTTTGAATATGTCCATAACTCGTAAGATCTTAATATTAAAAATCAACTTAAAAAACTTTATGTTACATATAAGACCCTTGTTGCAATATACATGAAGGTTTTACAAGTGATATAAATAGTTGCTTATACTTACGTTAAGTTTTGACACCAATATGATGGGCCCCAGGTACATTCTTTCGCACCCAGAAGTTTTTTATGTCCTGGGCGTGGTGGAACAAAAACTCCACTAGTTAGGGCTGAAACAAAACATAATTTTACTTTTGACATTCTGCTATTCCGGTAGGTAATTTAAAATCTGATAGATAAAATATAAAAAAATTATTATAATTTATCTTTTTGAAATTGTTTGTGGTATAATTTATGTTTTTTTCCATTTATTTGAGTATTTTATCACGAAAAAATTTAAATATTAATCAAACACTAAAAGAATCAAAGGCTGCTTTAACTGTCACAATTTATTAAACACGTGTCTATTCTGAATCACTGATTTTTAAGATGTAAACTAAGTTAAAATGATATGTTATACCGATGTGTATATTTTATTTTTTCAGAGCAAGTTTATTGGTTAGACAATAATAACTTCATAAAACAATCCTTGAATGACTTTTTATGTAGGAGTTAATTCAATTTTTTTCTGGTAAAATGTGGGCATAAAAAAAGAAAATATGACGGCTAAGTAAGTTTCAATAAAAAAAGTTATCTTTAAAAAATAAATAAATACTCCATATTTACAAATTGTACTAAATGTAATCGATATAACAATGGGATCGGGACCGGTATGTAATAATATTGCAAAGTGGCATGTGTCGAGTGAACCATCAATGTCGGATCATAGACATATCCACTTTGAAATCATAACGGATTATAATCCGCAAGTAAGAACCTACAGAGACCTGAAAAGAACTGACTGGGACTCCTATAGAACGGAGTTGCAGGCCAGGACTAGGGAAATCTGTATAAAATTAAGAAACACATATGATCTTGAGAGGGCTGTGGAGGAACTCCAAAACGCCGTCACAAGATCATATGAATACAGCTGTCCTATCAAAGTGAGGTCCGACAAGCACACCATACCCTGGTGGAGCAAGGAACTCACACAGTTGAGGGGACAGACAAGGAAGTTTCCTTAGTAGTTACTTAATAGACCAAAGCGGACAGGAGAGTGGGAGGCTTATAGAGCAACCCTCACTGAGTATAATAAAGTAATTAGAAGAGCGAAGAGAGACTCATGGAGGAAGTTCTGTGAGGATATTGATAGTGTCCCACAGTGTGCTAAACTCCAGAGACTTCTCTCTAAGAATGGAAATACGAAACTCGGGTCTCTTAAAGCACCGAGTGGGGAATACACTAAAACTGGAAGAGAGACATTAGAGCTACTTCTAAATACTCGTTTTCCAGGCTCCAGGTTATTAAACCACGGAGATGAACATGACTGGGATCACCAGCAGAGGGTAACGACAGGGCCTCGACAGAATTGGGAGGTTGCCAAGACAGTGGTGAGTCAGTCACGAATAAGATGGGCTATAAGTTCTTTTGACCCATCATCACCATTTAAATCATCAGGAGCCGATGGAATCCTACCCATACTGTTACAGCAGGAGGTGGACTGTCTAGCTCCGGTTTTAAATCACGTCTTCAGAGCCAGCATTGCACTTGGTTATATACCGCTGGCATCAAGACCGACGAACGTGGTGTTTATTCCTAAACCAGGGCATCCATCGTATGCCTAGGCAAAGGCATATCGCTTGATAAGTTTAACATCTTTCCTCCTGAAAACGTCGGAGATAATAGTTGACAGGCATATGAGGGACGGGGTGTTGAGGGCAAATCCTCTACACAAGTACCAATACGCCTATCAGGCAGGCAGATCAGTCGACACAGCCCTTCATAGCCTAGTCACTAGGATAGAGAGGGCGATGGACGACAAAGATTTAGCTTTGGCAGCTTTTTTAGATATTGAAGGGGCATCTGATAATACACCTTTCAAATCTATTAATTCGGCAGTTCGCAACAGGGGCCTTGATGACACTTTATGTCGTTGGATAGATACCATGTTGAGAAACCAGACAGAAACAGCTACCCTTTTGGGAGAGACATCCAGGTATAAGGTAGGCCGGGGTTGCCCCCAGGGAGGCGTACTGTCTCCCTTGTTATGGGGATTAGTGGTGGACTGGAGGGCCTTAATTGAAAAGGATTTTGTACACAAGGCTATGCGGACGACTTAGTCGTTATCATTGTCGGGAAACATAATATTATCGTTTCAGAACTCATGAAAGAGGCTTTGAAATGGATAGATGACTGGTGTAAGGGGCAGGCATTGTCAGTAAACCCTGACAAAACAGTCGTAGTACCCTTCACCAGGAGAAGGAATTTAAATGGACTCTCTGAACCTATAATAGGGGAGAGGAGCATTAGGCTTTCCAGGGAAGTAAAATATCTAGGAGTGATACTGGATAATAAGCTTACCTGGAATGCGCACTTGGAAAAAGTGGTGAGTAAGGCGAAGCAGACATTGAGTGTATGCCGTCACCTTATTGGGAGAACCTGGGGACTGAAACCAAAGATGTCAAACTGGTTGTATACATCGATAGTAAGACCTAGAATTCTCTACGGCGCTGTGGTATGGTGGCAAAAAATACAACAGACCACAGCGAGGGAAAAACTGAATAGAATTCAGAGATTGGCCTGTTTAGATATAACAGGGGCGATGGCATCGACCCCAACAGCTGCACTAGAAGTCATGCTAATCTACCACCGCTGCATATAGTGGTGGGAAGAGTAGCACGGCTAGCAGCATATCGACTCAGGAATAACAACGACTGGAGGGGTAGTTCCCATTCCAGGATCATAGACACATCTATGTCGGAACCAACATTTGGGATGGTATCTGACAAGATGGTTCCAAGGTTTCACTTCCACAAGCCATTTGAGACAAGCAAATGGGAGGAAAGGTTTAATACCCTGGAAAGGTGGAGCCTAGTATAGTCTACAGATGGCTCCAAAATGACCAGAGGGACGGGTGCAGGAATATATGGACTCAGACCCAGATGGAGTGCAAGCTACAGTCTGGGGAAGTTCCCTACCGTATTCCAAGCAGAAATTTTCGCGATAATGGCGTGTCTGGCAGAGAATGTACGTAGAGGTTATAAACGTAAACTCATATATATTCTGATAGTCAAGCTGCAATTAAAGCTTTAGGCGCAGACAAGATAAGTTCAAAACTGGTGTGGGATTGTTTACAAATGCAGACTGAACTGGACACCAACAATACAATCAGACTGTGTTGGATGCCAGGGCACAATGGCATTTGTGGAAATGAGAAAGCGGATGAACTTGCTAGGAAGGGATCCGAAACAAAGTTCATTGGCCCGGAGCCTTTCTGTGGCACATCTCCCAGTGTGGTCAGGCGGGCTCTGGGCAAATGGACTGAGACAGAACACAGGAAATACTGGACTTCAAGGCCAGGACATAGCCATTCTAAGGAGCTTATGGAGTATCCTTCGAAG